TGATGAGAACAGATTCACAAAACAGTTGATGTTGGATTACAGCCTGTGTTTCACAGGTTATACTTACAATAAAAGACCCACAAGGTTTGCAGAAGTGCTCGCTAATGCGTTCTGTCCTGAGTCTGTGCCGGCTCCAGACTGTTCATCAGTTCAGTCTATAAAGCGTTTGCTGGATCAGCTGATTCTGAGCTTTGAAGAGCGTCTACTGTTCTCCAACACTAGAAGAAGATATCCACTCCTGACCTGCAGCTCCTCCAGCTCACACTGACCATCAGCTGCTCCAGCCGGTGTGCTTTACTGATGGACACTGACACACACGCAAAACACTGACAATCACACACACCAAACCACATAAATAATTATGCTACAGCTGCTTACACACATTCAAAATCTTCAATTAAAAATAAATAAATAACCCCCTCCACACTCGGTCTCTTCCATCTCCCATGATACACCACGGCTCGGGTATAAAACCTGATGGTGAGATGAAGCTGTCTGAGTCGGTCGACTGTTCAGCTCAGTTGTGTCAGGAAATGGTTCATTACTCGAAGCTTTCCGAGTCAGAGCTGGATGAGGACCCCTGCTGGTGAAAGTGTGGAAAAGTACTGTGCTGCAAAAATGTCAAACGTTCACAACTGACCCACTCACACCTTTAGTGATACAACAATATTAATATTATAACTAATAAACTAATAACTCAGTTACTGTAGTTTATAGATTTTACACTTTAGTGTGCTTCAAAAGCTTTTTTACTGTAATTTACTGTAGTATTTTAGCTGAATTACTGGTGTGTGGGAACACAGTAGAGCTTTGAAACAGTAGAAACGGATGTAATAGTCGCCTCATCTCTCGCTTTACACTTTCGTAAGCCACCGCGGGCTAGTAAATCCATCATTTCTGATATTTGCTTCAAAGCCTCGACACTCAACATCACACCTGAAGTGACTGAACTAAAACACACTGAGCAACATCTATTATTATTGGACTGTACAGCAGCGTTTAGCATGTTTATTGATTATTCACCAGGCCAGGGAATCTGTAATGTTTACAGTAGGGGTGGCTGATGTGATTGGGCATTTCAGAAGCGTTGCTGGCACATCTGCTGAATCGGTGTGCTGTGATGGAGACGGCGCGCTGCTCACTGCAGACAGAGCGACCAGAGTTTCAGTCCTGGCTTGTGCAGAAGGCCAGAAATTGTGGCATGATGACTGTTCATTTTCATGATCACCTCAACACATTTATTCACAAACATGTCATCTTCTAGAATAACTGATATTTAGATGTTACAACAAACAAAGCAAAAACACACTGTAGGTGCTTACATAACTGTAGGTGCTGCACGCTGGATTCAAACACAAAACACTCCCCTACATTACCTGAACAATAACAGAGAAGGACCACCAGGTGTCACTGTAGAGATACACACACACACACACACACACACACACACACACACACACAGAGAGAGAGTTCAGTTTGAGCACAGCAACACTGCAAGCCCCTCCCTAATTTTATTTATTTGAGAATTTAGATTCTTTAATAGCTATTTTAATGTCAGCATTTTGTTTAAATAGGTGATGTGATGTAAATAATGAAGCAGTTTTGGGTTTTGTATTTGTGTTTTCGTCATTCTGAAATGATTGTAAGATGCTCCGTGGTTGTTTATACACACTGAATAAATGTGAATGTGCTGTGGACATATAGTATGAACACTATCTGATTATAACAGGCTCCTGCACACACAGATGACTGTAATCATCCCTGGATCAGTTCTGCTGGACTACAGTGCTTTTGCTCTTGTGTGTGTCCATCTCTCCATCATCATGCTGGACTCAGAACCTGCTGTTCCCGACTGAAACAGCACCGCGAGAGTGAAGAGTCTCACCCTGAAGATCAGCTGCAGATCTGGGCATCAACTCATCATCTCCAGTGAAGAGCTACAACAAAATAAACTTGATCATCAAAATAAACTGCATCATCATCAGAATAAACTCTTCTTCATCATCATCATCATCATCATCATCAGAATAAACTCTTCATCATCATCTGAATAAACTCTTCATCATCATCATCATCATCATCAGAATAAACTCTTCATCATCATCAGAATAAACTCTTCATCATCATCATCATCATCATCATCATCAGAATAAACTCTTCATCATCATCAGAATAAACTCTTCATCATCATCATCAGAATAAACTCTTCATCATCATCTTCATCATCATCATCATCATCTGAATACACTCTTCATCATCATCATCATCATCATCATCATCATCATCAGAATAAACTCTTCATCATCATCAGAATAAACTCTTCATCATCATCATCATCATCATCATCAGAATAAACTCTTCATCATCATCTTTATCATCATCATCATCATCAGAATAAACTCTTCTTCATCATCATCTGAATGAATTCATCATCATCAGAATAAACTCTTCGTCATCAGTGTGAACCCTCATCATCATCATGAGGCTGAACTATCTGAAACTCATTGGAGAGTACTCGTCAGCAGTGTGTCTGATAAACACAGGCATCTGTAAGTGCCCTCAGTAGTGTGCCTCCTCCTCAGGCTCTCGCTGCTCCTCATGTTCCTCCTCCAGGTCAGCGGTGGGGAATCTTGCTTTAGCGGAGCCGTTTCATCTTGTTTTAGGCAGTATTAACTGGACTGATTTACATGAGCGATGTCACCTGAGCAGCAGTGTGATGTGGCTGTATATCAGCACTGGAGCCACTGTAGAGCTAGTGTTTGACTG